TCCTCCTCCTCCTCCTCCTCCTTTCAAGACCCTTTCAATATCGACCCTAGGTATAACTAAAGACGTGGCCGCAAAGAGGGGGCCTTCCTCTTTCCCATCCGCCTTCCCGAAGTCCTCGAGGTTGGAGGAAGTGGAAGAACTCGCCCGTCAAAAGACACCGACGAAGGAACCGACGAACTCGTGGATGTCGAATGGAGGCCTACCCCTTCGGTGGGCTGAGGCCTACCCCCTCGAAAACGTTTTTTTATGTTCGGCGATGACGGGCGTCATGGGGGGGGGGGGCGGCGGGGGGTATGACGTAACGCCCCCCCCTCCCTGCCGTGCGGCTCCGGCACCGCCGCCGCGCCCGCGCGCACGACGCGACGAGCGCAAGCGACGACGACGACGACGACGACGAGGACGCGAGCAGCATGTAGGTAGCGATCAGCCCCACTGCGCCTGTGTACACCACAACGCTCGCGTGCACCACAGCGCACATTTACACCGCAGCGCCTACGTACATCGCAACATCCGTGTGCAACGCAGCGCCTGTGTATAGTGCAGTGCTTGCGTACAGTACAGCGCCGGTGTACATGTGCACACCGCAGCAACCATGTATAACACAACGCCTGTGTACACCACAATGCTTGCGTGCGCCGCGGCGCCTGTGCACGCCACAGCGCCTGTCTACACCACAGCATCCGCGTGCAACGCAGCGTTATTCTACACCACAATGCCTGCGTGCATAGGACAAGTAGAGGAAGCCTGTACGTGAGGCTATGCTGCGGAAGCGCCACGCCAGGAAAGTGCTGATAATCGAATGCGCCGTTTTCCCTCGTCCCTTCTCCTCCACTTCCACATGTTCCTCCTCGTCCTTTTCTTCCTCCTCCTCCTCCTCCTCCTCCTCCTTACCCCCTGTCGTGCGGGTTGGCGCTGCAGCGCACGTGCGCAGATCAGCGTGCACCGCAGAATGGTCGATTGAATCGGCCCACTTGGTTCTCGGACGGCCAATTCAGCTGGAGTTTCCTGGACGCAGATGGGAGGAGTTACGGTGATGCGGGGGCACTCGGAAGGACTGGTGGATTCCCCTGGCGCTCCTTTGTCCACAACGATTATTTTCTAGCGTTTTCGGTGGAGTCCACAAGCGCTCCATTTTGTCACAACGATCCTTCTAACATTCTACATGCAACAGTGGTGCTGTGTTGCACACGGTTGCTGCGATGCACACAAGCGCCGTAGTGCACACAGGCACTGCAATGCACGCAGGCATTGTGGTGTACACTGCTGTGTTGCACGCGGCGGGTGTGGTGCACGAAGGCGCCGTAGTGTACACGAGAGCTGTTGTGCCCGCGCGCGCGGTGGCACAAGCTGACGCTGCTTTGCACGCGGCTGCTGTGGTGTACATAGGCGGTGTGGTGTACACAGGCGCTGTGGTGCACACAGGCACTGAGGTGTACACAAGCGTTGCGGTACATATCGCCACCTACATACTGGTGCCACCCGTCTTCCGTCATTCCTAAGCATTCCCAGGCGCCGCCGGCGAGAAGCGTGACGTCATCGACCCCCTCCAACCCCCCCAGATGATTGCCGTCATCGGCCCGGAATAAAAAACAAGCTCCAGCCGCGTCCGCGAGCACGACGACAATGAGCGACGAGCGACGAACCACGAGCCACGAGCGACGACGACGACGACGACGACGACGACGACGTCGACGACGACGACTGCGGACCAGACTCCGATGCGGATCCCTACGCGGACACCTACGAGGATCCCAATGCGCACGGCGGCACTGCCCAAAGCGCACTGGGGGGGGAGCGTTACGTCATGGGGTGGGGCAGGGGCCATCACGCCTGTCATGCCCCAAGCAATAAAGAAATGATATCCTCGCCTCGCCAGGCTGCGCGTGGCCTACCCCCTCGCCGCGCAAGGGTCGTCCTCCTCGGAGTCGGTTTGGTCCTCGTCGTCTGAGTCCGTGGTCGCGCCAGCGTGCGCCGACCCAGCGTGCGCCGACCACTCGGCGGCCTCTGTGCGAACGCACTCTACGAGGTCCTCGCACATGAAAATGGCCCTGTCGAAGTCGTCGCCGTGGGTCTCGCTCGAAATTGCGATAAACAAATCGAGGCCGTCCTTCCTTTGCACTGCCGTGAGCAGTGCGCGCACGCCAGTCTCCGCCTGGATACAGCGGATGTTCCTGCTTTCCTCGCCGAGGATCTGGGACTGCCATGGGAAGTGCTCGTCGAAGTTCTCGGCGTCACTGGGGATGCTGTGTGTCATGGTGACCTTTTGCTTGCTGATGTGGCCTAACCCCTCGCCGCGCAAGGGTTCGCGGTGGCCTACCCCCTCGCCGCGCAAGGGTCCGAAGGAGTCGTCGTAGTCGATGCTGTCGCCGTTCTCCGCCTCGGAGCTCTTCGTCTCGCGGCGCTCGTGGCCTACCCCCTCGCCGCGCTGGGGTGCGCAGTGGCATAACCCCTCGCTGCGCTGGGGTCTGGCGAATCGTCGTCGTCGAAGCTGTCGCCGTCCTCCGCCGCAGAACTCGTCTCGTGGAGCTCGTGGCCTACCCCTTCGCCGCGCAGGCGTCCCAGGGCGTCGTCGTCGTCGAAGCCGTCGCCGTCCTCCGCCTCGGAGCCCTTCGTCTCGTGGAGCTCGCGGCCTACCCCCTCGCCGCGCAGGGGGCCAGAAGAAACGAAGACGCCCTCGGAAGCAGTGCCCGTGGCAGCTGAGCCGCTCGGAGCACCATGAAGAAGAGGGTGTGCGGCCGACCGTGCTCTCCGCATTTGGTCCTCCACCTCCTCCTTGCTGGGCGGGGGGCGGAGGCTCGGCCGCCAGCTGGCGTAGGAGCGCGGGGCGCTATTGCCGACGTAGCCGTGCTCGTAGGTGTTGCCTGGATTTAAGGACTGCTTCTCGTTGGTGGAAGTGACGGACAGGTCGATGCTGTCGGGGGCCGCCGCTCCCGCGGGGTGCGCGCGGCTGCTCCTCTGGGGTTTCTGGTGCCATGCGGCCACCACGCTTCTTGCCGTTCCCGCGGCGCTGGTTTTCCTGCGGCCTCGCGCTCAAGACGTGGGTGGCCTCGTCGAAGTTGTGATCGGCATTGTTTCTGGATGCCCGTCCAGCTCCGCAGATATTCGGCTTCGGCCCGGACGCTGCGGCCTCGACCTTCTGCTTGATGACGGGCTCGGTGTAGTGCATCCTCGCGTTGACCTCGCCTTGAAAGAGGGTCGGCCGCGCCGACGAGGCCCCGCAGCAAGTCGTCCGTGCTCTGCCAGTTGTCCAGCTGTAAGTTGTGCCACCATTCTTCCCGCCGTGATAGGCGACGCTGACGAGAGGCGATGAACGAAGCCTGCTCCTGCACCTGAGTTGTTGTGACTGCTCTCGCCTGGGCCTGTTTGCCCCTTCGTGCCGCTCGGACTGCTCTTGACCATGAGATGCTGGTTTCCTCGACGGGCTTCGCACACCATTGCGTAGGCGCGCCTTGCCCGAACCTCGCCATTCCTGCCGCGTGCCATGCCATGCCTGGTTGAGTCACGATGGTCGGGGCGCGCGACGCGGCTTGAGCCAAAATGGCTTGAGCCAAAATGGCTACGGACCCTCCTCCTCCTCCTCCTCCTCCTCCTCCTCCTCCTCCTCCTCCCCCTCCTCCTCCATTCTCAAGCACATGTGGCTCGAGGCTTCTCCGTACCCATTTGGGCTCTGGGCAGTTTCGACGTCATGTCCCGCGCCTCCACGCGGCGCGCGGGGGACGCCCAGGCTGCCGCACCGTGAGAACAGCAGCGGTCCACCCGAAGCACTCCGGCCTCCGACAGGTCCTGGTGCCCTTCCGCCAGCTCGTCTTCGTGCACCTGGCCGCCTTCACGGGGCTGGTGCACGCGTTCGACCTGGGCTCGGTCTGCCTCGGCTTTTGGCTGCGCTGGCACTCCTGTCACGAGGATTCCCTTCGTGCAGATACCAGTGCTGTGCGCGGCCCGTCGGCGCGCCTTCTGCTACCGTGGCGCAATGGGCCCGCGCACCAAAGGCTGGGCAGTGGCTGCTACGTAAAGGCTGGTCGCACGGCCCTTCGGCGCGTTCTCAGGTTCAGTGCTGCAGTGGGCCAGTGCCTCGTGGGCTGCTCGGATTTGGGGGCGGTTTTCAAACATTTCGGCCTCTGCGCCAATGCTTGGATCGGCATGTGCGAGGAAGGCGCGCAGTGGAAACTATCTCTGTCGGTGCGCAGCTCGCGGTGGGAGGCGAAGCGGTCCCGATCGTTATCTAACCTACAATACCGGGCATTGCGCGTGCGAGAAAATCGGCTACACGCAAGAGTGACCCTGGGTAAGAGTGAACTTTGGTGCGCGGCTTTTGGGTGGACGCGGAGGGGACCAAACTCAGGCGCGCAAGACGCTACCATCGCATTGCAATCGGTGATCGGGGGACCCCATTGTGCCCGCACCAAAGGTCACTCCGGCGAAAAGTCACTCTTACGTGTCGTCGAGTAAGGCCATTGGGGGCACCCTCGCCAGGCCCTGGGGGGCGGCACCTCGGCGGCTCCGCTCTCGCGGGGACGGTCCACACAGACCCCCAGAGAGCCCACGGTGGCTCCCAGGGGGCCCCAAGAGGCCTCCACGACGGCCCAAGAGGCCTCCACGACGGCCCAAGAGACGCCCAAGTGGCGTCCCAGGAGGGCCCCAAGAGGCCAAACACCAATGGATGTTCCTAAGGAAATCGTGCATTTCGAGCATGTACGGCTTTTCGGCTTTCATGGCGCTGAAGACGGTCCAAGAGGCCCCCAAGACGGCCCAAGAGGCTCCCAAGAGGCCCCCCAAAACGGCCCAAGAGGGCGCCAAGACGGCCCAAGACGCGCCCAAGACGGCCTCAAGAGGGGGACCTCGAACCGAAAATCCCAGCCTTTCGCCCCAAGACGCCCCCAAGAGGCCCCTAAGAGGCCCCGAAGAGGCACCAAGAGGCCCCCGAGAGGCCCAAAAGAGGCCCCAAGATGCCCCCAAACGGCCCCCATAAGGCTTCGAAACTGCCTCCGAGAGGCCCGCGAGAAGCCTCCCCAGAAGGCCAACTGTGTAACAACCCCCCGATCTGGCCCAGCACGGCGCCCAAGGTTTCCGAAATCGGCCCACCGTGGCCTGGGTGGACGCCAGGAAGCCTTGAAATTTCCTATTTCACTGAAGCCCCGTCGGATAGGAAAAACACACACACCACACCTATTGGGACCCCTCTCGCATCGTACCTCACGCCTCCTGGGACACGCGGCGTGCGAGAGAGGCCTCAGAAAACAGCGTCCCTAGGTGCCGCGGGGGGGTCCGGAAGAATTTTTGGCAAGCCCTCCCGAGGAAGAGGTGTCCCATGAGGTGCGGGGTCTTGTTTTACTCACAGATGGACTCCCTCCTTTCTTGGAACCGTCTTGGGGCTCCTTTGGAGCTTTCTTGGGGCCATCTTGGGGCCCCAAGAGGGGCCTACAACCTGTCACGAAGACGGCCTTTTTTGTGACAAGTTGCTGGGCCTTTTTCAAACCCTCTTGGGGCAGTCTTGGGTCCTCCTGAGGGGGTCCTATGGGGGCTGAGGGCCCCCTGAGAGCTCTAGCCGACTTGCCCCCGCGTCTGGAGCTCTTGGGGGCTCACTTGGGCCCTCTTGGGGCCCTCTGGAACAGTCTTGGGGCCCATTTGGAGCTTTCTTGGGGCCCTCTTGGGGCCATCTTGGGCTCGAAGGTGATGGCCGAAAAAACCTTTCAGACCGAGCCGCCAACGTCCCGGAACGCTTTTTCTGGGACTACTCCCGCACGGCGCGTGTTCCAGGAGGCGCGGGGTATGGTTTTTCCATACAGGTTATACTCCCTTCCTCGACCTCCTTCTCCTCGTTGCCCACGGTTCCCTCTGCACAGTGGCTGCCGTCGTTTGCCAGTCACGTCGCTCCACCCACCTCTCGGGTTACTGCCGATGCTGCCGTATCCGATGCTGCTGCAAACGATGCTCTCGGCGCCGACAGGATCATCGAGCACCCAGCTCGCCCTGAAGCACTACGCAGCAGCATGCGCCCTCCCAATACATTAGCAATCGTGCACGGTAGTCCACAGGTCAGCCCTAGTCAGTTACATCGCTGGGATCAGCACGTGCGAGAAGGCAGGCAGCGGTGGGCAGTGGCAGCTATCAGTGTCGGTGCGAGGCTCAGCGACGGCGGTCCGTCGGCGCGTTTTCTCCTGCAGTGCCGCAGTGGACCAGTGCTTGGGTCAAGGCTGGCGTTTCTTTTTCATTGGTGGGATTTGGTTCAGACCTATCACGTTTTGTTTTGATTGGGTCAAACACTTTCTGGCTTGATGTTCGGTTGGCAACGTGCTGGCGTCAGCACTTCGCATCCATATCTTTCAATCAGTTCAGTGTTGTCAGGCATCATGCCTGGGCTCGTTACTTTCGCTACGTCGCTCGTTGGATGCAGGAGGAAAAAAACTACACATTTGCTGCTGTTTTGCGAGGTTGTCTGTGGAGGAGGTGATCCGGATGACACACGTGAAAGGTTGCCCAGTTATCTGTGGTGCAAATCATGGTAGGGCCGAGTCGAGCCGAGTTCATTTTAGCCAAGGTTATTACGCTATCAATGTGTGGTGAGGCACCCATTTGAGGTATGTACGGGGTGCTCGTCTTCCTCAACCTCTGGCCATGCACCCGCGCTGAGGTCCGTCTTTTGGTTCGTGCTCAAGGGGCGGCCTTTAGAGTGTTGAATCAAATCGCACCGCGATGGGGCCCAGTCCATTCCATTCACTCCTCCTCCTCCTCCTCCTTTCCTTTTCCTTATACGTAACTTCTCCCTGTCGCACACCGTGGCTGGTTTTTAGGGCGGGCCGGGCGTTTCACCTGAGACTCCCTCACCATTTATGGCTCTGAATCGTAAAGATTTGCGACAATTTCACAGATGGAGGGCGGGTCGTCTTCAAAATGCGGCTCTCGCCTGAGCGCGGCGCACACTGGTTTTAAAGATTTTAAAAAGGGTCTCACGGATTGAGGGCGGTTCCTTTTCAAAATGTGGCTCTCGCCTGAGCGCGGCGCACACTCGTTTTAAACATTTGCAAAAGCTTCACGGATTGAGGGCGGGTGGTTTTCAACATGTGGCTCTCGCCTTAGCGCCGCGCACATTCTTCTTGAACATTTTGCGGATTGGGGGCGGTTCCATTTCAAAATGCAGCTCTCGCCTTAGAGCGGCGCGCACTCGTTTCAAAACTTTACAAGAGCTTCACGGATCGAGGGCGGGTGGTTTCAAAATGTGGCTCTCGCCTGAGCGCGGCGCACATTCGTCTTAAACATTTGCACGAGCTTCACGGATTGAGGGCGGCTCCTTGTCAAAATGTGGCTCTCGCCTTAGCGCCGCGCACATTCGTTTACACAAATTTCAAGAGTTTCACGGGTTCCATCATCAACGTACCAGAAATGCCGTTTTGGAAGGATTCAGGATTATGCGGGTGCACCAGTTACGTTGGTTTTCTTTGAAGTCCTAGGAATAACGTTCTGGCACGACTCAGGATCATCAAGACGCAACAGTCAAGTTGGCCCGTGACGTTAGGATCCCGACAGTAATGTTTTGGCATGCTTCAGGGTCTTCAAACAGGTGTCTTCCAACGAGGCCGTTCCATCAATGGACATGAACCGTTGTAAGGGCCTATGAAGAGAGACCTTGGAGGGAGGGTTCATTCCAACATAATTAATGACTCTGAAATTTACACTGGTCCTCCTGCTCCTTCTCCTTCTCCCCCTCCTCTTCCGCCTCCTCCTCTCTCTCTCCCCCTTCCCCTCCCTCCTCCTCCCCCTCCCCTCCTCCTCCTCCTCCTCCTCTCCTCATCCTCCTCCTCCTCTCCTCCTCCTCCTCCCCCTCCTCCTCCTCCCCTCCTCCCCTCCTCCTCCTCCTCCTCCTCCTCCTCCTCCTCATCCTCCTCATCCTCATCCTCCTCCTCCTCCTCCTCCTCCTCCTCCTCCTCCTCTCCTCCTTCCTCCTCCTCCTCCTCCTCCTCTCCTCCGCCTCCGCCTCCGCCTCCGCCTCCTCCTCCTCCTCCTCCTCCTCCTCCCTCCCTCCTCCTCCTCCTCCTCCTCCTCCTCTTCCCTGGCGGCAAGCGAAGGCCGTACCCCCCCATTCAGTGGCCCTCCTTCTCCACACCACTCTCTCGCGAGCAGGCGAGCGGACCGCCTGCAGCGCCTTTGCCCACCACCACTGTCCTGGCCCTCCCTCCCCTCACTCCAACCCTCCCCCGTCATCCGTCCCTCCAACCCTCCCCATTCACCGCCCCTCTTCTCCCTTCTCACCGGTCTCGTCTTTGTCCCTTCCCCCTCCCCCTCCCTCCCTGCCCTCCCTCCCTCCCTCCCTCCGTCCCTGCCGACACGATGCCGGCCCAGCCGCTTGATGTGATAAAGAGGTTTCGGTGGGATGGCTGGATGGATGGCTTGAGGAGGGGATGATGGACTTAGCCGGTGCCACGAGAACAGGTGTTCGATCTGTGTCCCAGCCTTCTCCCTCCCTCTCGTAATGCTATGCTACTTCCCTCCCTCCCTCTCCCCCTCCTCTTGAATGCCTTGAACGGGCACACCAAGCAATGTGTTGCCGCCTTCAGCGTTTGCCGTCCAGTTGCCCAGTATGGAGGGTGGGGGTGTATGTGAGGATTGGGAGGGTCTGGACTCCTTGCTTCGATTCGACGCGTTCCGCCCGCTCTGTCGCGGGGGGTCCCTTCCTACTGTACTGAACTTGCGTTCTTGGTGCCCGTGCAGATATATGATTCAAAATAAAGCGCAAGCCGAACTCGTGATATTCTGCCAGCTGCAGCGCCCCACTTGCTGACAGGTATTGGCTTCATCAGCGTCGCAATCCAATCCCTCGTTTCGTTTCGTTTCGTTTCGGCACGGGCCCGCCCTAGCGATCCCTAGCGCTCAGCTCGGCAACACAGTGGAGGGGAAAAGACAACCGGGGCGGCAGCAGCGGCGGCGGCGGCGAGAGAGCGGGAGAGGTGGAGCCTCCCCCCCCCGCTCGTTCGCCGAGCGCTCGTGCTAGTGTAGGGGGCCACATGCGAACCCTACCCCTACCCCCCACGATTTCTGAGGGGGAGGGTGGGGATTTCTGAGCGAAGTGAACCCCACCCTCCCCCTCAGAAATCGTGGGGGGGAGGGGTAGGGTTCGCATGTGGCCCCCTGCAGTGGCCACGGACGCCTCGAGAGCTCACAGCATGACACAAGCTGGAGCAACCCCGACGCCCGCCCGCCTCTCTTCCTGCCACGGCTCCCTGCCTCTCTTCCGCCCGTCTCTCCTCCTCCTCCTCCTCCTCCTCCTCCTCCTCCTCCTCCTCCTCCATTCCTTTCTCCTTCTACATCACTTCTCCTCGTCGCACCCCCAGGCCAAGTTTTTTTGGGGCGGGCTGGGCGTTTCGCTGGAGGCTTCCTCACCCTTGACGACTCGGAAGGAACATGGCAACAGTGTCACGGATGGGTGGTTTTCGAAATGTGGCTCTCGCCTTAGCGCCGCGCGCACTCGTTGTAAAACACTGCAAGAGCTTCACGAGTTGAGGGCGGGTCGTTTGCAAAATGTGGCTCTCGCCTGAGCGCCGCGCACCTTCGTTTAAACATGGCAAGAGCTTCACGGATTGAGGGCGGTTCCTTTTCAAAATGTGTTTCGCCTGAGCACCGCGCACATTCCTTTTTAACAATTTGCAAGAACTTCACGGATTGAGGACGGTTCCTTTTCAAAATGTGGCTCTCGCCTTAGCGCCGCGCACATTCGTTCAACATGTGTTGCAAGAGTTTCACGGAATCCCATCATCATCGTACCAGAAATGGCGTCTTGGAAGGATTCAAGATTATGTGGGCGCAACAGTTATGTTGATTCGCGGTGTTGAAGTCCCCAAAATTGTGTTATGTCACGATTCCAGATCGTCAGGACGCATGCTTCAAGGTCTTCAAACAGGTTTTCAAACTGTGGCTCTCGCTTGAACGCGGCACATACTCGTCTTAAACATCTGCAAGAGTTTCACAGATTGAGGGCGGTTCCTTTTCAAAATGTGGCTCTCGCCGTAGCGCCGCGCACATTCGTTTTGGATTCCCATCATCAACGTACCCAAAAAACGTTTTGGAAGGATTCAGGACTATGCGGGTGCAACAGTTACGTTGGTTCTCTTTGTTGAAGTCCTAAGACTGGCCGTCTGGCACGATTCAGGATCGTCAGGACGCAACAGTCAAGTTGATCCGTGGCGTTGGGATCCCGACAACAATGTTTTGGCATGCTTCAGGGTCTTCAAACAAGCGTCTTCCAACGAGGCAGTTCCCTCAATGGAAATGAACCGTTGTAGGGGCCTATGAAGAAGGAGCTTGGAGGGAGGGTTCATTCCAACATCGTTGATGACTCTTGGGTTTACACTGGTCCTTCTCCTCCTCCTCCTCCTCCTCCTCCTCACCCCTCTCCCAAGCCCGTCTCGTTTCCACCTGAGGCGCGGACGGCGCACGGGCCAGAGGGCGACGAGTAATGGGCTCGCAGGTCAGCAGAACACGAATCGATGACGACCATCTGCGTTAAGATTGAATCGGCCGACACACATCGCCACCGGCTCCTTTCCCCAAGCTTCGTCCGCGGGCACACGGTGCATGACAGCCACGCTGCCTGCAGCTGAGGCCGCTTCGCCTTCTGTCGGCTCTGCGGATGCTGGGCCGAATATCAGCCCCGCGGTTTGCCAAGGGGCCCTAACGGCACAGAATCGCGAAGCGCTGAGGAAGCTCCGTTAACATACCCAATAAAAGGTGCCTCGACTAGGGTAGCAACGTCAAGAGCTTGATTGATTTCTGCAGCAGCTCGGAAACACAACTATCATTCACTCCTGCAGGTTTCCCCGATGAAGTTGAGGAGGAAAATGATGTAGCAGGAAGGGGAAGAACACGAGGAGGAGAAGGAGGAAGGAGGAAGGAGGAGGGAGTGGCGAAAGAGGATGAGGCGCAGCAGCATGAGAACGAGGGGAGCCGAGCGGGCAGGGCGGATGCAGTGATGATTTTGCACTGGCAGCCAGCTACGACGACCTCGTCCGAGGGAGACGGCAGGAGATGGGGCGGAAGAGACGTCGCGCGCACGGAAGGGCGATCAGACTGCCCACGTCTCGCCATTTCTTGGTGCCCGGAGGAACGCTTCCGCATGCCCCGCGAGCTCGGCGAAGGCCGCGCGGCGAAGGCGCCCGCTTACGGCCGCGTCCGCGCCCAGCAGCAGCATGCGCCACGAAATATATACACAGACACCCTCCGAGGAACTTCGCACAGTGGAGGCTATGTAGTCCACAAGAAACCTTCCACAAGAAAACTAACCCTGAGACCACACGACGTCCATTGAGTTTTGTGGAGTGCACGTCACGCTCTCCATAGCAAGACCGTCGAAGCCCAAGAAACCCAGGCACCCTTGAGGCAAGCGGGGTGTTTCTTGGCATGGGTATGTAAAACCGCTGGCTCTCAGTGGTGATTGATACACCGCCACACTCTCCTGAGGCCCAGGAGCAATCCGTTGGAGGGTGTGTGTGTGTATGTATGTATATATGTGGCGGGCAGCACGTCCTCTCCCTGTGCGACCTGTGCCGCCGTGCCAAAGCCTGCTTTTCCCGGCCCGCTCGAGGGCCTCCTCGTTCACCTCCCACCTCCTCCACGAAAACGATTTTCTGTTCTTCGCGACACCAGCACCAGCCGCCGCCTCCCCACCATGTAACGTCACGACTCGTGCCGACGTCCAACTTGTCTAGGATTATTTCTAGACAACCACAGACTTCGCCAACGCGAAACATGACGTTGCTGGGCCCTCCCCCGCATCCCACCCCCGTAATGCCCGCTATCGCCCAGGAGTAAAAAACGCTCTCCACCCTTCCCTCCCTTCCCCTCTCTTTGAAGGAGACGCCCCGCCCTGCCCAAACCTAAGGAGGGGGCGATCCGGGCTTGGCCAGGGCTTTTCTGACCAAGACCTCGGAAACACCCTCTTCTGGCGTGCTTGGACTTTCGGGTCCCCTTTGCCCTTCTTAGGTTTGTGGATGCCATGATTAAACATGTGCTTGAAATGTGAAAAACATGTTTTAAAAAATGTTTCAATCATGTTTTTACACATTGCAAACACGATTAAAACATCTTTTAGACATCTGGAAATTACTTGGCAACTTGCTTTCTCTCCACTGATCGTCCTCCACAACCCTAGGTCACCTACATTCGCGCCTCGCGCCTCTCGATGCGCGACGCGTGGCCATCTTCGCGCCCCCGCACGGGCCCCGCGGGGAAGTGCCGCCGATCCGGCCCCAAGCCGCGACGAGGAGGAGGAGGAGGAGGAGGAGGAGGACGAGGAGGAGGAGGAGGACGAGTTGGAGGAGGAGGAGGAGGAGGAGGAGGAGGAGGAGGAGGTGGAGGAGGAGGGAGGAGGAGGAGGAGGAGGAGGAGGAGGAGGAGGAGGAGGAGGAGGAGGAGGAGGAGGAGGAGGAGAGGAGGAGAGGAGGAGAGGAGGAGAGGAGGAGAGGAGGAGAGGAGGAGGAGGAGGAGGAGGAGGAGGAGGAGGAGGAGGAGGAGGAGGAGGAGGAAGAGGAGGAGGAGGAGGAGGAGGAATAGGAGGAGGAGGAGGAGGCGAAGCGCAGTCGTCTTCACGCTCCTGGGGAGTGGCCCTGGCCTCCAGGCCCCCAGCATCCCGGCACCCCTCGTGCGCGAGGCACGGCTGCCGGAGGCGGCGAGGGGGGCGAACAGCCCACGGGGGGAGCAACAAGTGTAGCCAGGGGCGCCGGTGGTGCGTCCAGGAGCAAGAAGTGCATCCAGGCGACGATAGGGGCGAGCAGCCCAGGGGGGAGCAAGAGGTGCATCCAGGAGCAATGAGTGCATCCAGGGGCAATAAGTGCATCCAGGGAGCAGTAAGTGTGTCCAGGGGAGCAATACAAGTGCATCCAGGGGAGCAATAAAAGTGCATCCAGTAGCAAGAAGTGCATCCGGGGAGCAATAGGTGTGTCCAGGGGAGCAATAAGTGTATGTTTTGTGCGAGGCTGCCGGAGGGATGCGTGCAGTGGCCGCCCCTGGGCTATTCGCCCTTGTCGTCGTCTCCGAGAGGCCGTCTCCCGACCTCCTCCGGAGGGCAGTCGTAGGCCTCCCACACCTCGCGGCTTCCATCACAGAGGCTGCGATGGGCCGACCTATCCGGCCAATACAATGCGGGCGCGGCCGCAAGAAACCCTCGCAAGAGACCCAACCCTGAAAACCCGCGCGCGAGATGCACCGGAGGGGAAACCTGGAGCACTCTGAACGCAGCTGCTCCTTCCCCGGCTGCGGGAAGCCACCGCGCGGCGCGCGGAGCGAAGGAGCCCAGGGTACCCTGACGAAAAGCAGATGGTTTCTTGATGCGCGCCCGGAGGAGGAGGAGGAGGAGGAGGAGGAGGAGGAGGAGGAGGAGGAGGAGGAGGAGGAGGAGGAGGAGGAGGAGGAGGAGGAGGAGGAGGGGGAGGAGGAGGAGGAGGAGGGGAGGAGGAGCAGGAGGAGGAGGGGGAGGGGGAGGAGAGGGAGGAGGAGTGGGAGGAGGAGGGCGCCAGCGGGGGCCGAGGACTCCCTCGCGACCACGCGGCCAGCGTAGACGGCCGCAAGAGAGGTCCGACTTCGGAGCCGTCGTGCATTGGTCGAACTTCCGATTCCTAATGGTATCGGAAATGCACCCGAAGGATGCGAAGAAGTAGGGCGGACATTTCCGATTGAGAAAAAAGAGGACGGATGTTTGGGCGGGGGTGTGGCGGAAACAGCGGCGGCAAAGTAGGGCGCACATCGGCATCAAGGGAACTCGAAGAGTAGGGCGCAGGTTCCCGCCCTGCTTGCGAGATCGCCCAGAACGCATGGCGGACTCGAAAGCAGGAGGGCCCAGGCGTACCTCCGACTTTTCCCACGGTGAGGAGCAACGATAGGGCGGGGCTGGCATGGGGGGGATGCATCGACCTGGAATCGGCGATACATCGCCGATGTTACGTTGCATCCTCGGGGGACCTTGTCTGTCCCGTCGCGGCCCTGTCCGCGTCGAATCCGTGTCGAATCCATGTCGGACGCGTCGAATCCGTGTCGAATCCGTGTCGACTCCGCGTCGAATCCACGCCAAATCCGCGTCGAGTCCGCATCGAGCACGCGTCGGGCCCCCCAAAAAGGCACCAATTTTGGGGACAGGCGAGGTCCCTCGAAGATGCAACAGAACCGATGGGGTCGGCGATAGGCCCCCCGATGGCGAATCCGCACCTTCCTGGCCAGGCCGGGGCTATATTGGGCCCCTGCCGGCGATCAGTGAGCGAGCGATGGGGGGCCCATGCGTCCGCCCCCCTCTGCTTTGGTCGGGCCTGTCCGCCATATGGCGGGATTTTCGAAGAAAAACGAAAAATGCTCAACAACGATATGCAAACATGCCTCAGAATACGCCACAAAACAGCCCCCGGACTACTATTTGTTTTACTACTTTTGAGCAGTCCCCCTGCAGAGGGACAGGCCCGACTCAACCCTATGCCCGTCCCCCGACACCACCTTCGGGCGTTGGCAGAACTGGGTTTAGTGGAACCTGGCTCAGTGATTTGTACCGGGGGCGCCCCCCCGTCCCGTCTCCACGAACCGGAACTGCCGTCACCCGAAAAACACCAGCTACAACAAACCTGATTTAGTGAATCTGGCCAATTGAGGGGCCCCAAGGCCCTACCACTAACTGGGTCCCCGTACCTGGGGTCCTGGCTATACTAGAGGCATCCAAGATGGGGTCCGAGTAGATGGGGTCGAAGGATCGCGCCGCATCGCCAATGCATCGCCGATGCATCGGTTATGCATCGGCGATGCATCGGCGATGCACCGGCGATGGATCGGCGACATCGGCGACGCATCGGCGACGTCAACGTGAAGCAAATCGGGCTCCGCATCGAGCTGCATCGACGATGCATCGGCGATGCGGCGCGATCCTCTGACCCCATCTACTCCGACCCCATCTAGGAGGCCTGGCTATACCCGAATAGCATTTGTATGTTGGAGTGATGCCGATCTGAGAAGGCTCGGAAGTGCGCCAGCCTTCTGAGAAGTTTTCTGGGCCTTCCTTGAGGGCCCAGGAAACTCGGGGATGGACAGACCCCCCTTTAGTAGAACGTGGTTTAGTGAAAACGACCTGAAGCCCAAACCTGGCGGGCGCAAGCCTGGAAAATAACGGCCGCGGCGCCCTCTCGAGAACCGAAAACGGACAATTCACTAATCGACGTGTCACTGTTGGGGGTTCTGTCCACCCCCGAGAAACTTCTCAGGAGGCGCGAGGACACCTCTGCCAGCGCACAGGCCGACGCAGGGCGCGCCGCGCAGGGAACGGACAGGGGGGCTCCTCGCCGGCCGAAGGCCGGGCGCGGCCACGAGCGGGCTCCCCCCAATCCTGGCCCCGGGAGCGGCCCGGGGGCCCGGGAGCCCCTCTCCCGAGTTGTGCTGCTCCGGCCGACCTTGGCCTTGCTCACAGGGGAACAAAATAGGGCGACGAGATCTATGCATATCCACTGCTCCTGGCCAGGCCAATCCTGGGCCCAGGAGCGGTGTATACGCCCTCCTGGCCTGGCCAGGGAGGCATATACACAGCTCCTGGGCCCAGGATGGGCCTGGCCAGGAGCAGTGGATATGTATAGATCTCGTCGCCCTACAAAAAGTGACATAAACATAAAAACTCGGAGGTCCGCGCGGACTTCTCGGATCGGCGCTGGGGCCCCCCGGCGGCGCCTCCGGCGCCGCCCCTGGCGCCGGAGGCGCGCCAGGGAGCGGGGTCCAGCGCCGATCCGATTCTTTATGTTTATGTCGCTTTTTGTTCCCCCAGATCACCAGAAATAATTTCGAGCGCCCAAAAAGGTGCCGAAACTCAAGGGTTTTCACGCGTCGGGCCCCGGGAGACACTCGCCCGACACTGTTTCGACACTCTTTTGACACTTTTCCGGGTGCTCGAAATTAGTTCTGGGATGTGGTCCTTAGGTAGGATGGGAACAACATAACTCCCGAGTCCAAAGCGGTCTTTACCCAAAGACCCACCACGACGATGATGAAAACGGAACGGCTCTCAAGACGTAAACCGAAGCGAGGCCCGACGGTCAAAGCGAGCGATGATGACGAAACAGGTGCCAAAAGGAACCAACAGCGAGACGAGGGGTTGAAAGCAGCAGTGGGAAGCGAAATGAAACAGTAACGAACAGCGGAACGAACAACAAAAAGGCCCCAACCGAGCTCAACAACGTTTCGGTCGGCCGTTGTCCTTGTTCCAACGTCTTGACCGCACCTGCACCAGCACGCCAGTCGACAAGCGGTCCCCGGACCTCTCCCGGGGTGCGCTCTCTGGGCATTTTCTTAAGGTGGAGGGGCTCAGGGTGGAATCCATCTGGGCCTTCGCACCTCGAAAGCCGATCCGTCTTGGGATTCACCTCTTGCAGATTCAGGCCCCGAACATCGATCGAAACGGCATTTCAGGTGTCACCCTCTGCCCTCCACCCAAAGAACGTGCTCGGGAGTAGCGCGAGGCGACTCAGGTTATGTCGGGCGTCCCCCTACAGGGGGATGTTCGACGAAAAACAACAAATACCCTTAAAATGCATCAAAAAGGTAATAAAAAAAGTACTCTAAAAACTAGTCCCCCGACTATTCTTGGACTATGTCTCGACTATTTTTGGGGGTAACCTCTTCTTTTTCGTCGAGGCTCCCCCTGTAGGGGCACGGCCCGACTTGCGACTCGGGCCGTGGCGACGAGGGCGCCCCCCCCCCCCCTGGGAGGCCAGCAGGCTCCCCTCGAGGCGCCCGGGGCCCGCGCCTCCCGGCGCTGCCCCTGGGCTCGCCATCGCTCGGACGTCCATTCCCGGTGTTTTTTTGTCGGCTTCGTGCACGGCTTTTCCGCCAAATGATCAAGGATGCTCCTCGATCGTCCTCGCCGACGGAAAAACGCACACGTCCGAGCGATGCCAAGTGGGGATCGTCACCGGCTCCTCCGCCCTCGGGGCACGCGCGCCCCGCAGGCCCCGACGGCCCACCAAAAGTCCTCCAAAAATAACCAAACAATGACCCAAAATGGTCAAACAATACCTCAAAATACTCCACAAATAATCAAACAATACTCCAAAATGGCCAAACAATGACCCCAAAAAAACAGTCCTCAGACTACTTTTTGACTGTTTTTGAATATCCCCCCTGTGGAGGGACACGCCCGACTTGAGACTACCTGCCAGACCACCCCAATCCAGCCCGAAGAACCGATTTTCGCGTGTGGGGGCCGGTACGGATTCCATATATGTTGTTCAATGTTGCCAAAACCCCCCACTGGCCACCGGGATTTTCGGACGCCACCGGGAGTGGGTCTCTGTTCGCCCTTCTGAGCTGCCGCCCGCTCGCTGCACCTGTCTTGCTCTTCCGCTTTTCCGCTTCTCCGCTGCCTAGCCGTGGCCCGGCTAGAGCTTGGACGCTTTTTGACCCGCTTCACGAGGCCGTTGACCCAAAAAGTAGGGGAACAAAAGGTGGCATAAACAGAAAACCTCCGAGGTTTTATGTTTACGCCACTTTCTGTTCCCCTGAAAAAGAGCCCCCCCCCCCAACTGGGAATGAAGGGCAAATGGGGGCCTTCGGGTTGGGCTGGGGTGGTCTGGCGGGCGGTGGAGGCCCACTCCCGCTCTGTTGGGCCGCGCCGGCCTCCCCGAGGAGCCTCGGACAAGCGCCTTCCGCTACTCGCAGAGTCGGTGCTCTTGCAAATGGCCCGGATCCGCCGCGGGGGATTCGCGATACTACCGCATCGAGGCAAACACACACCTGCTTTTCGGACGTTTTTGCGAGGGGGCGCCCTGCGAGGAGCGGAACGCGTTCGGCGAAGCCTCTGCCCATTGCCACCGCTGGAGCGCCGCTGAAGGGGGCTCGCCGGTTGAGGGAAGCACTTGAGCAGCACTCCCCCCCTCCCCCGCAGTTCAAAGTTGACAGGCTGTCGCAAGACCGCTCGGAGGCCCAAAATCGGAAGATCCAAAACCAACATTGCATTTTTGGGGGGGGAGGTTCAAACCATATGTTCTGCATGAGTGTTGCTTAATTGTTTCCGATCGGGGATCTTCTGACCCGGGTCAATCCAGACCCGGGTCAGCAGGAAACCAAAAACTGCAACGCAGGGAAAAAAAACTGCAACGCAGGCCTTCGCAAACCCGGGTCAACCAATATGCGCGGCCTCCTCGCGGCCACGAGCGGCTCCCTAACCCG